TTAGACTGTAGTAAGTATATGTTAAACAGTTAGGACATAAACATATTTTAAAGTAAGTGTTTTCGGATTTCTGGGCGTTACTGGGCGTTTTGTATCCCCGAATATATGTATATATACCGAACCGCAAAAGAAATGTCACCCCAAGTAACATTGCATGAAAAAATCAATTCAATATCTGGGTAATTTTTGTCAAAATTTCTAAAATTTAACATTACCTTGTCCGGAAAAAATGAAATTTGAAGATAAAAAAACAAAGCAGATGACAATAAAACCGATCGCCTAAACGCATCACGGCAACGGTCATGGTAACCCGATGCACGCGAGTTCCCTGCAAATTGAAATGCACGTGCGTTCCTCCATTTCTTGCCCTATAAAAATCCACCAAGATCGGATAACATTCATTCGTTATTGAATTGCTACCACATGCCAAGATTGACAAGAAATCAGCGACACCAAGCAATTGGACGATTGCAAGCTGGACAAACCGCCCGGCAAGTAGCCAATACATTTCAAGTCCACGTAAGGACCATATACAGGCTCCCGCAACGGTAACAGACCACTAACACTACAGATGACCGAACACGTAGTGGAAGACCAAGGGTCACAACCCGACGTCAGATTGTGCGACAGCATCTTCAAGATCGCTCAATTACTGCTAAAACTGCTCAACAGACCACGGGACACACCAGCGACACATTAATGCGGACACCGTGCGTCGACGATTGACGAGCAGACACCTCGTATGTCACAGGCCACACCGAGGACCTATTCTGACACCACGTCATCGCCGGGACTGTCTTCAGTGGGCAACACAGCACCAGCATTGGCGCAACCAGCAGTGGAGAAGACTCTTCTTCTCGGAAGAGACCCGTTACTGTATCGCAACAGCAGATGGCAGAGAGATAGAGTCTGGCGACACCGTGGGGAACGTTATTCGGATGCTTGTGTTGTTGAGAGAGACTCGTGGGGTTGTCCGATGATCGTGCACGGCAGTCATCAATGCACATGGCGGACACACGAGATACTGACTTGTGATGCCATTTTCTCAGAGACTAGTGTTGTGTTTTACTTTAAGAACATTTGACACCTTAATTTCAACCTTGATGATAAGTTTTTTCAAGTTTCATCTCTTTAACATGTCTGAAAATATGTTACAGTGTTTGGACAAATAAGGTTTCTCATATATCTAGCCATGGTGACGTTTCTTTTGCGGTTCAGTGTATATAACTTTACTATCTGACACCAGTTAGTATCTGGAATAGCACACGGTATTGTTTGTGGAGTATTTAGATTTTGGCCACAGCATTTACCTTTCATCATAAGCCACGAGAAGCATTACACTAAATCAACTACAATAGGAATGTTTGGCCGAGACGTTAAAACTGTCCCGAACTGTGTTGCAAAGCAAACCTTTCTCACTTAAGCAGTAGAATCATTGCACGTGTACACATCAGACGTAATTCAAAATAATAACATATCGTTTTTAGTTAGAAAATCAGTAAATGCGCAATCGTTTCATCAGTTGATGGACTGGTTTGTTTACATGCCGTCGTCGAATGGTAGGAGTACTGCGGTGCGGGGGGCACGGGTGGCCCAGTCGTCTAAGGCGCCGCGATTCGCTGTGCAGAGTTGCGTCCCTTGGGCACGCCAGAAACCTATGATTGTGGGTTCGAATCCCGGTTCGCCCCGATTATGTTTCTAGGTTTGTCAGCACCATACCCGTGCTCGTGGGTTTCACCGAAGTGGTAAACGTCTGAGACCTGCATCACTTTGGGCTTTCCTCCCACATTAAGCTGACACGCCGCGATATAACTGGAATACTGAAAAAAGCGGCGTTAAACCCAACTCACTCACTCACTCACTCACTCACTCACTCACTCACTGCGGTGCGAGTTCAGGCAAGAAACAAAGTAACACTAACTTGTTTAAGCAAATTGTGTGGGTGGCGGATGCCTGGTAGGGTAGGACATGCTGACTTGCAGTGATCTATTCCTATCAATTTCACCACTAAATTGCCCTTTACGTACATTGGAATCTATTTCGGCGGATGATCAATATTCGGTTCTCTAGATTTACTACATTTCCGTTAAATTGTAAAACGTTTTCTTTATTTGTAAAGGATTAATGTAAGACTGTTTCGATAACAGCACTCTTGTCAGTTTCACACATTCCGTGAAATTGGTGAGTTTACATGAATCTGAAATGTTTGATAAATATTTTCGAAAGAAATGATAACCCCATTCCGCCTTTCTTCTTACAACAAGTTTCACTTTCCCCTTCCCTCCCACTAATCAGATTGTGCACGATTCAGTTTTATGTGAACTGTTGATACATTGTGAAACATGAATACTTTATTTCAACTGCAATCTCACATACACACGATTACATGTATACAAGAACCAGAGTTGATCACAGTAGTCATGGGTAGTGCTGATGCATCGTGTGATACTTCGTGTGTTGCATCCAGATAACCAGCGCAGTAAACCGGCAATGCTCATTGGTACAGTTCCTTTGTCTCTCAGCAATGTGATACTTTGCAACTGGACACTGAATACAGTACTATAAGTGCTGACTACAGTGATCAACATAAGGTCTTTTCTGTGAGATCCACCATATCTGCCTTTGATAACATCACAATGTCGACTGTCACACTAACATAATCATCTGACCCAACAAGCACGATCGGCCATAACTGCCTAAACTTCAAGCTTCGGAAGGTAGCGATTTTAATTTGAGTGTTTTGTTCATAGATGTATATATTTCCATTTATATCAACCAAAATAGAAACTTTTATAATACCCCTTAACTTATAGGAATCCTTAAAACGGAATTGCTTTTGCCTTGAATATCGGAATTTGTTTAAACGTTTACCCGTTTGGAAAAATTCAATTCCAATGCAGTATTCGCTTTGCATTATATCGTCTTTAGTGTAGGCTATTTTTCTATTCTTACACAAAGCAAATCCCAACATCGGAACAAACCATTTGCTTTCTTGAATCTTGAAACGAAGTGTCAAGACACAAGTTTGGTTCCTTTTAGTTATGGGCTTCGTTGTCATTGCCCCATTGTCTTTTATAAACTTGCGTTGTGACCTACCTAAGTCTCTTCCTATCTGAGACTTTTCTTCTCCTTAAACGACCGTTTGAATTCACAGAGCATTGTCCAGACATAGATGTTCTGTCAAACGCCACGGGCAAACCTTAAACAGAAGGCATTGCTGTGTCATTACAGATAATGGGACATTAAAAGAAAAGAAGACATACAGCTCGTACTTTCACTTTGAAATTCTTTTGTGCTCATTCTGCCATATGGCATGCGAATAATTCAGGTTATTATGACATATTTGATCTTGAAGACAGATAATTACAATTGCAAACAATAACACATAGAATGTTGAGCTTACGTATCTTTAAGACTCAATTAATAATAGTCCATCGTTATGGCTGTTAGCCAAATCTCATATTTCTTAGGATTTTTGTTTGCTTGTTGTTTAACACCTCACAGCATTATTTCAGCTCCATGACGGTGGTCTGTAAATAATCGAATCTTGACCAGACAATCCAGCGATTGACATCATGATCATCAATCCACTCAGGGACACGATGCATTGTCAGGAAGCTGTGCTTCAATGATCAGGGGTGTCATTAAAAAAAGAATGAAATAATTATGAAAACGTGGTAATAGTTTCACAGGTTTATTAATAACAACTAATGTACCAATAGATGACAATAAAAAGATCAAATAAGCTCAATCTGAGCTGACAAAGATCACCCATTAAAGTTTACAGCAAGCTATGTATAATTATTGAAGAGTCAAAAATGATACTTAATACATGAAAAATATCTGACTGTCCATATAAACTCCCCTAATGTTAGAAAATGAATGTTACAAAAACATTTTCAATACACGAATAAGGTGGCAAACATATAGAAAACAACAAACATCAAATCAATACATGGTATGAGCGTGTCATTAAATCACAAGAGGATGAAATAGTCCGGTCATTAATTCTCTAAATTTGAATGCAATGACATTGAACAACGACGACCGCCGGACTTTGCCAAGCGGTGTCGGAAATACAGCGGGGGAGCGGTGAGGTCACTTGACCGTGAAAAGTGTCGATTAACCACCCGGTGACAGGATCAACAAAGTAAGCGAGTCTGACCAACGGATCCCGTCAGTCACCTCTTACCATAAGCATAGTAGCATTTAATGGTAATTGATTGCTGAAGACCCGTAATTTCTTGCGTGTTCTTAAGATTTACTTTCATTTACTGTTGTAACCAAATAATACACAACCGATTGTCTGACAGAGGTAACTGTGCTTACCCGTGGATGTATATCTGATCTCAATAAACACGGTTTGGCGTACTTGAATTCCAATGACAGATTTTAAGTGACTTATCAGCATATCTCGCTGCACTGCACACGGCAGATACGAGGGAAAAGCATTCCACCGCAGCCAGAAATACACCTAATGCTTTCTACAACGCGGAGGTTCTCGAAGTTCGCATATTATTAGGGTTATGAACAAATAACATTCAATTATGTGACGTTCTGTTTCCTTTCCTCAAAACCGCTCTTTTATTAAATCAAGTGCAATTTAGTAAATTATTCATTTCAGTAGAATAAAGTCTGTATAATTTTGACATATATTCGGTTCATATCGGTTTCCCAAACTTAGTTGATATCTAGTATACACAACAAAACTAAGTTTTGAAACAATTGATTAATAGGAATTCTATGTGTCTATTGAGACTTTCAGATCATCCACCACGTGTGTTTACCCGTGCACGGTAATGACAGCATACTTACGTCTGATGTTAACTTTTCCACACGAAAGGGACAGCGTCACCACCTTGGACTCCATTGCTTGGGGAAGTCTATGTCCGCGCCATAAATGATCAGCAGGGATACAGCGCCAAATCCCTTTTCTTGTCATCACAGAAACTTCCTGTTCCAAACAGACTGTATCTCTGTGTACTTGTATTACCTGTAAGGACGCAATTACGCCGTTCAAGCTACTTCGTATTGAAAACCTCAATGCACTTAACATTCCCATTCCCATCTCCCCCACCCGCCTCACCTGCACCTGTCACAATGCCCCCATTCCCCTCTCCCCCACCCGCCCCACCTGCACCTGTCACAATGCCCCCATTCCCCTCTCCCCCACCCGCCTCACCTGCACCTGTCACAATGCCCCCATTCCCATCTCCACCACCCGCCTCACCTGCACCTGTCACAATGCCCCCATTCCCCTCTCCCCCACCCGCCTCACCTGCACCTGTCACAATGCCCCCATTCCCCTCTCCCCCACCCGCCTCACCTGCACCTGTCACAATGCCCCCATTCCCCTCTCCCCCACCCGCCTCACCTGCACCTGTCACAATGCCCCCATTCCCCTCTCCCCCACCCGCCTCACCTGCACCTGTCACAATGCCCCCATTCCCCTCTCCCCCACCCGCCTCACCTGCACCTGTCACAATGCCCCCATTCCCCTCTCCCCCACCCGCCTCACCTGCACCTGTCACAATGCCCCCATTCCCCTCTCCCCCACCCGCCTCACCTGCACCTGTCACAATGCCCCCATTCCCCTCTCCCCCACCCGCCTCACCTGCCACACCCGACCATTCCCATATTCCCCACCCGCCTCACCTGCCACACCCCATCATTTCCATCTTCCCCACCCGACTCACCTGCACCTGTCACAATGCCCCCATTCCCCTCTCCCCCACCCGCCTCACCTGCCACACCCGACCATTCCCATATTCCCCACCCGCCTCACCTGCCACACCCCATCATTTCCATCTTCCCCACCCGACTCACCTGCACCTGCCACAATACCCCCATTCCCATCTCCCCCACCCACCTCACCTGCCACATCCCCCCATTCCCAACTTCCCGACCCGCCTAACCTGCACCTGCCTCAATGTCCCCATTCTCATCTCCCCCACCCGCCACACCTGCACCTGCCACAATGCCCCCATTTCCATCTCCCCCACAAGCCTCACCTGCCACATCCCCCCATTCCCATCTTCCCCACCCGCCTCACCTGCACCTGTCACAATGCCCCCATTCCCATCTCCCCCACCCGCCTCACCTGCACCTGCCACAATGCCCCCATTCCCATCTCCACCACCCGCCACACCTGCAACATCCCCTCATTCCCATCTTCCCCACCCGCCTCACCTGCACCTGCCACAATGCCCCCATTCCCATCGCCCCCACCCATCTCACCTGCACCTGCCACAATGCCCCCATTCCCATCTCCACCACCCGCCACACCTGCAACATCCCCTCATTCCCATCTTCCCCACCCGCCTCACCTGCATCTGCCACAATGCCCCCATTCCCATCTCCCCCACCCACCTCACCTGCACCTGTCAAAATGCCCCAATTTCCATCTCCCCCACCCGCCTCGCCTGCCACATCCCCCCATTCCCATCTTCCCTACCCGCCTCACCTGCACCTGTCACAATGCCCCCATTCCCATCTCCCCCACCCGCCTCGCCTGCCACATCCCCCAATTCCCATCTTCCCCACCCGCCTCACCTGCACCTGTCACAATGCCCCCATTCCCATCTCCCCCACCCGCCTCACCTGCCACAATGCCCCCATTCCCATCTTCCCCACCCGCCTCCCCTGCACCTGTGACAATGCCCCATTCCCATCTTCCCCACCCGCCTCACCTGCACCTGCCACAATGCCCCCATTCCCATCTCCCCCACCCGCCTCACCTGCCATATCCCCCCATTCCCATCTTCCCCACCCGCCTCACCTGCACCTGTTACAATGCCCCCATTCCCATCTCCCCCACCCGTCTCACCTGCACCTGCCACAATGCCCCCATTCCCATCTCCCCCACCCGCCTCACCTGCCACATCCCCCCATTCCCATCTTCCCCACCCGCCTCACCCGCACCTGTCACAATGCCCCCATTCCCATCTCCCCCACCCGCCTCACCTGCCACATCCCCCCATTCCCATCTTCCCCACCCGCCTCACCTGCACCTGTGACAATGCCCCCATTCCCATCTTCCCCACCCGCCTCACCTGCACCTCTCACAATGCCCCCATTCCAATCTTCCTCACATGCCTCGCCTGCACCTGTCACAATGCCCCCATTCCCATCTTTCCCACCCGCCTCGCCTGCACCTGTCACAATGCCCCCATTCCCATCTCCCTCACATGCCTTACCTGCACCGGGGGCACGGGTGGCCCAGTCTCTAAGGCGCCGCGATTCGCTGTGCAGAGTTGCGTCCCTGGACACGCCAGAAACCTATGATTGTGGGTTCGAATCCCGGTTCGCCCCGATTATGTTTCTAGGTTTGTCAGCACCATACCCGTGCTCGTGGGTTTCACCGAAGTGGTAAACGTCTGAGACCTGCATCACTTTGGGCTTTCCTCCCACATTAAGCTGACACGCCGTGATATAACTGGAATACTGTTAAAAGCGGCGTTAAACCCAACTCACTCACTCACTCACTCACCTTACCTGCACCTATCACATTCCACCATTCCCATCTCCTCCACCCGCCTCACCTATACCCATCATATTCCCCCATTCCCATCTCCCCCAACCGCCTCACCTATACCTGTCACATTCCCCCCATTACCATCTCCCAAACCCGCCTCACCTACACCTATCACCCCCTCCCCCCCGCATCCCCCACCCCCATTCCCATCATCCTCACTGCCTCACCTGCACCTATCACATCTTTGTCACATACTTACTTGTGATCCATGTAGATCAGTGCTGTTCCAGTTACTGTGGCCGCAGTCTCCAGGACATTCACATCTTAACTTGGACGGCATGTAACGCATACATCGCCCCTCACCTAAACTTGAGCACCGCGGGACACACATCTAATAGCCGTATGGCTCATATGTTCGATGCGTTGCCGAAGACAGTACAGCATTATCAACGTAATTCAACAAAATAAGCAGATGAACCATCTTTAAGCACATACGTGGAACCATGTTGGTCAGCTTGAACATACGCCCGTCACTCTGATCTTTATGTTCTCAAAGGATTATTTCATCCGGGGCCTTGATCCTTTTAACTTTACTTTCTGTTAAAAATGGTCAATTCGCATTTTGCCTGATGAAATTACACGTATGTAGCAGATACCCCATTTTAAATGCAGTCGATTGTTTTTTATATTGCTTTAAGTGGATAGTAAAGAGAAATGAAGTCGCGCCCATAGAGACTTTAACGAATAGAAGAGCTTTATTGAATAGGATTTCAGATTAAGAAGTATTTTCCTATTATCTGAGACATTAACACAGCACCATGTTTATTTCATCTGTAATTTTATATGATGGGATAAGTGATGTTAAATGCAGATCGTTTTTATCTCAAATTCGTTGAAAAAATCAAGATCATGTGAATAGGCAATAATCTAATCTGTGAAGTTTGTGTCAGACAATTCCGTAAACGTTTTATTATCCATTATCTTCAGTTTAGAATATCTTCAACGAGAAATTCAAGTAAATTTTTTGTAATTTCTTGTTGAAAAAAACTACACACAATAAATGAGTCAAATTTCCTGAAGAAAGAGACAAAAATCATTCACTCAAAATAAAACCAAAACGTTGCGTGTTTCAGCTTACGCGCTTGTTGGTTAATATTCTCCTGGACCCCCGAAGATCCAGGTTAGAATTGATCTTCAGCAACCCATGTTTGTCTTAGGAGGCAACTTTGTCGTAAAAGGCGAACCAATGGGATAGGATGGTCAGGCTCACTAACTTGGTGGATGCATGTCATCGTTTCCCAGTTGCGTAGATCGATGCTCATGATGTCAATCATTGGATTGTCTGGTCCAGACTCGATTGTTTACAGACCACAGTCATATAGCTGGAATACTGATGGATGTAATTGTGGCGTTAAACAACACATAACATTGAACTGATTGTCTTGATTAGCCATGAGTATGGTTTTGTTTGTACCTTATTTAACCTTTTTCTATCATATAATTGATCTAATTTTGACAAACCATATCGTATCAATATCTCGATGTTGCTCCACGCTTGACTATAATCAATTCATAAATGATGGTTATTCGTTGCCCTATATTTAGGGACAATGCCACATTGCACTGTTTCACTGTCACATGGTTTAGGCGCTGGACTGTACGGGAGTTTGCTCGTTTCACAACTTAAAATCCTTGCTAATAGATGCTATCATTAGGCACACGTAGGCAACAATTGGTCAAAAGGCGTATCCTCAACACAACACGGTCATCAGAAAAATCAATATGTCTTCATAAATGCAAAGTTCATTTTACAAAAGTATACCATCATATGGTGAGTTATTATCAAATGTATTTTGAAATAGTCATTTGTGACAGAGACTGAACCTGTTTGAGAGATTGTCACATATTGTATGCGTCTATTCATGAATGTGTCTAAGTTTCTTTGTTGTAAGTGCCGTTGGCAAATACCATTGCTCCGTGTACAAGCACACACGGTACGGTATCTACTAGATGGTTGATGGAGCTTTCCTATTATATATATTTGTATACTTTAGTGGCCCAACTGACCGCCCTCCATGGTCTAATGGTAGAGCGTCCGCCCAGGGGGGCGGAAGATCCTGGGTTCGAACTCCGGCCGCGTCATTCCAAAAGACGTTTAAAGATGGTGCTTGTTGTTACCCTGCCTGTCGCTCGGCATTAAGGGGCTAAAACAAGGACTGCGCGGAGTCAGTATTCTGTGTGTGAGCAGGGTATTCATGTTAAACTGCGGCAAGGTGTAAAATTGAGATAAGTCCGGACTTGTACAATCAGCCACACACACAATATACACATACACACATACACATACACACACAAGCACGAATGTCATTATATATAAGTACAATAATCTTGGCCACGACGTGATTAAACCCCATTTCATCCCACCTCAGCGGTCCAGCCAGATGTGTTCCTTGATATTTGTTAGAAAGGCTAGATTCACTCGATTGCTTGCCGCAAGAATCGACTAATTTGGATGGAGTGACTCTCCTCCATGACGTGCTATCGTACGCCTGGCGTGGGACGTTGCTCGTAATACGAACCACTAGTTTGTCAGAATCAGTTTAACTTAGTCACAAGTCGCCTCAACAAGTTCGCCTCAGCGAAATATTTCTGATCTAGTCCTAAACTATAACAAAAATTAAAATAAACCTTGGTGATAATGGTAATATTCTCAAACCTTGCGGCTGGATCCAGTCGCAGGTTGTGTAACTTAGGCAAGTCAGGATCCGTGGATTCTAGGTTAGAATCACCTGCTTAGTACTCTTGGTTTCACCAAGGTGGTTAACCTTTTCCCATAGTTACCTGACACACTGTATTAAGTATATTGTATTTTTTAAAGAGACACACATTCCCAGGAAGCCCATGCACTTACTGTCATGTACTCTGGAACACTTTTACATGACCAATTAGAAGTCTGAATCTTATTTTATAAACAATTAACACTTGGAACTGTGTATTTATTGGTGAAAATGATGTATTATCCTTAGAATTATAGTGATGTCACACAAACTTTATGCTGGTTTAGACTCATTTTGATTTGAATTAGTGTGACCTAATTGTCTGAACAAAGCGGCACTCCATTGGGATGTACATTCTCTTAGAGTGGGTATGTAAAATGGTTCACGAATTGAGAGGTCCACTTATATATGCTGACGAGGGTTGATAATGCCGGTTCCTTTCAGTCTCACTGGCGAGAAATACGACAATCTAAGTGTTTGGTTGTGAACAAGGTTTGATTCCCCACGAGGCTATGAAGAAACAATCGATATACCAATTGACAGTGTTGCAGTCCATGAGATAAACATACTTCTGGCAGAAAAAGTAATAACACTTCACAATGCCCAGCGCCTCGCGATATTGCTCTGATTGAAAGAGGGCTTATCAGCAGCATCAATAATGCCATCATGACTAGTTCGTCAATAACAAGGAATAATTCAGTAATAATCTACTCGGACTTTCGTGTACGTACGTGTGTTTATGTACATGTGTATCTTGGTATACTTATATCTATATACGGATACCTCTACTTAGCTACGTGTACAGATGTGCATCTACGCGTACTTATTTCTATCTGCGAGATTTACAGTGACTTAAATATATCTACGATTACATATATCTATCTGCGTGTACTTTTATGGATCTACCTGTACATTTATGCATTTCCGTGTGCGTCGTATATATTTACGTGTACTTATTTCTATCAACGTGTACGTATATGGATCTACGCGTGCTATTTTCTATCAACGCGTACTTATATATATCTACGTGTGCTTATATACATCTACTTGAAACTTATATGCATCTCCGTGTGCGTATATATATATACTTGCACTTATATCTACCAACGTGTACGTTTATGGATCTACGTGTATGTATATCTTTTAACGTGTACTTATATCTATCTATCAAAAACATGAGTTTTGAGGAAAGGAAAATATTCTCGACCATGGGCAACATAGTTTAAATTTTGAGTTTTCGAAACATTGTTTTTTCATTTTTTCTTCTTCAGTACGATGGCGTTCAATAAGTTTTGCAACTTGGGTTTACACAAACAAAGTCAGCTTGTGGCAGGTGTGACACTAGTCATAACATCAGGTTGACACGTGTCATAACAAGTTCCAGACACAACAATAAATTAGATGTGATGGCTTCATTCACCTTAGGGTGGTCACAATCATGGATGCTCTCAAAAATGAACTCAAGCTGTAATAAAGTTCCTTACCAAGGAGGGATGCAAAGCAAAAAGATCCATGATCGCATGTGTAAAGTGATGGGTAAGGATGCTTCTGACTATTCCACAGTTTGTCGTTGGTCTCTACAGTTTAAAAGGGTTAGGAGTCCATAGACGATGACCCAAAGTCAGGGAGGTCTTCAGATGCCACCCATATCGGAAACCATTGCCGCTATAGAAAGAAGAATTTTGTCTGACCGACGAGTGAAAGTATCTGAACTTTCACGGGAATTCCAATTATCAGTTGGAACTGTTGGAACCATTATTCATCTTGGTATGTCCAAGGTATATGCAAGATGGGTACCTAGAAACCTCAGAGCTCATGGTCGCCATCAGAGAATTGAAAGTTGTCGAGACCTCCTGGATCTCTATACTGCTGATGAAGCCGGATTTCTTTCTCGTCTAGTGACAGCTGATGAAACATGGATCCACCACTGGGACCCAGAAACTAAACTGGAATCCATGCAATGGAAGCACCTCCGAGGAAGTTTCGCACTCAACCATCGGCTGGCAAGGTAATGGCCACCATATTTTGGGATGCAAGAGGCATATTACTGATAGATTACATGCCACCAAAATCTACAATCAATGGACAGTATTTTGCTAATGTAATGAAAGAATTGCGAAAATCTATTCGCCAGAAACGCCGTGGGATGTTAACACGTGGTATTCTACTTTTGCATGACAACGCTCCGGTTCACAAGTCGAGAATTGCCCAGGCCGCCATATGTGAATGTGGATTCAAACAGTTAAATCTGCCACCCTACAGCTCAGACTTAGCCCCCAGTGACAAATTCCTGTTCCGGCAAATGGGATCTGCCCTACGTGGAAGACGCTTCCAGGATGACGAGGACATAAAGGCTGCCACAGAGTTGTCGTTAGAGGGCCAATCTGCGGATTTCTATAAAAGTGGTATAAAAAGCTGTAAGGACAAATGGAATAAGTGTATTGAGGTGAACGGAGATTATATTGAAAAATAAAAGTGCGACTTGGTCTTATATTGAAGTTGCAAAATTTATTGAACGCCCCGTATGTACCTAAAAGTATGAAAACAGCATGTTGAATCATGGAAATGCCTTTGACCGAGACTGGCCATGGTAGGGAGAGTTTCTGGACAAATGGGTACCCAGAATTAAGATGAGACGTGTTGTGTACTTTTTCGATCTAAGTGTACTTATATGGATTGGCGTGTACTTGTATGTACCTAAGTGTACTTATATCTATCTGCGTCTACTTATATGTATCTGCGTCTACTTATATGTATCTATGCGAATTTATATCTATCTATACGTACTTTTATGGATCTACGTGTGCTTATATATCTTTCTACGTGTAGTTTTATGGATCTACGTGTGCTTATATATTTTTCTACGTGTAATTTTATGGATCTACGTGTACTTATATATCTTTCTACGTATACTTTAATGGATCTACGTGTACTTACATGTATATATATCTTTCTACGTGTACTATTATGGATCTACGTGTACTTATATATCTATCTACATGTACTTATATGTATCTACATGTACTTATATCTATCTCCGTATGCGTTTATGGATCTACGTGTACTCATATCTATCTGCGTGTACTTTCATAGACTTACGTGTACTTATATATCTTACTTCCTATATATATATACTTATAAATCTCCCACATTAAGCTGACACGCCGTGATATAACTTGAATAGTGTTAAAAGCGGCGTTAAACCCAACTCACACACCCACATATATGTATGCCTGTACCGTCGTGTAGTTACTGTATATGTACGAGTAATACCACGCTATTCTAATACATTCGTATCCCTAGCATTCCACGTGTACCTACTGGTATCTTGGTGTACATTTGTAGACTTGCTAATCTTGTGATTAGATTTACGACTGTAGCTGCACTTCCGTATATTTACAGTTACCGAAGTATTATCTGCTCCACCCGACGTGAACCTGTGTGTACCTACGCGATTATACGTACGTGTACGTCTTCCTACGCATACGTTTGTGTAATTGCTCACATGAGTTAAAAAATACGTGACCTCTGTTATACCTAAGAGCACCGACGTATACTTACGTGACTCCACATATTCTAGAATTTTTTTAATACTTGAATGAATCAATACTCCTCACAATTTACAAGCCTAAAACATAATCGACCGTATACTGGAATATATGCCTTATACCAAATGGTTTCAAGGATGCACTGCCAATACTGGTGATGCATTATATCCAACCCTTTGTGTTGTCTACAATAAAAGTACAGCCAATCTTAAATGATGGACTAATCCTAGTTAGACGATGTATTAGAGTGGTCAGTCTATTGTAGCAGGGCAACCCATCACAACCTTACTTTTCTTATATGATTATGTCGGGCAGAGATAGAGATCATTGCGTACACAGCTATCTGTGTCACTGATACTACGAGCTAACATTCAACAGTACTTGATCAGAATCGCAGAAGCGCCTTCACTAAAACCATAGTGTAGAAACTTTCCGTTGGTGTCCAAGCGATTGTTTCAACAGAGAACACGATAATTGTAGTTAATTAACGGAACACATTATCCTAATTATAAAATGAACACAAATTTGAGGATAAACGTTTATTGCAGATGAAATAAAGTCTGATGTCGTTGGTTGGGCTTGGACTTCATAACTATTCAACTGGTAATTATAATTCTTTTTCAAATTGACATAAACCCAATATTATACCAAACTACTTTGATTTAAAGATCCGTCAAAGCTTCCCCGTACAGAAAAAAAACTACACTAGATATTTTAGGAGATTTCAGACAGAGCCAGACACCTAACAATACTAACGTGTAATTATAACGACTCTCAAACGTCTCAATCTATCATTAGAACAGGTTAGAAGAGTGGATAATCCCGTCGCTTACACAGCTTGTACATCGGGTGCTGACATGGTAACCATGTGGGAATCGAACCTTGATTCTCTCTGACCAGTAGGCTACCTCAACCTCCCGCAGCATATACAAGCTGATAGATACTGTTGTGTATAGTCCTGGACCTGTGGTCTATGAAATAAAGGGTGTCTTGTCTGGTCATCAGTTAACTGGCACAATAGCAGTGTTATTATAGGCTGTAGAGACATTATATGGCGGAGGGAGTGCGTTGTAGGATCGTGTGTAGGCGGGGACTACAGGCCCAGTGTGAACGCCACCCCCGGGGTAGGATAGAGGGGGCTGATACTCGGCTTGGCCAGTCTGTGGCTTCAAGGTGTACTCAGTATCTGAAATGTAATGATATATTGTCACCTTCGTGATGTCACTGAACTCTACACAATTGTAACGTACTACGAATACCAATGTTGGCCTGATGCCAACACAATTGTAAAGGTAATGCTTAATGAAGTCACAACGCATCATTGTTGTCAAGGTGACCCTATAAACTGTAGATACCACGAGGTAGTGTGTGGCTACCAATGAGCTTAATACACGTGTGTGCATCGTGCAAGTACATAATTATTTATATTTCTCGAGCGACAAGTCAACGTCTCAAACATAAGCATTGTCTCCTGGGAATAATACCTTTTGTGTCTTGCTCATTTGTTAGTTACCGCCTAGTTTTTATTTGATTTGATGAGATATGTGTTTGACAATTCTGCTTGACCATCCTGACGTTATATCACAGCCTTGTCACAAATATTAGAAAATGGCGTCACTCATCGTCCATGACGTCACAAATATGCTACGGTCGAAACACCCATGTAACTTCTTGTGGTTATCAACAGCTTTTTTGCATATACACCCCGAAATAATGGATGGATATTAAACAGATAACCACTAGCCAAGTCTTAGAATATTAATAATTATCGGGACAGATCGTTTTTAATTCCTCGTAGCTTGTAAGTTGCCCTAGCATTGTATCGGCTACGCTTTATTACGCTATATATAAAAAATACCTCAATACATTGAATCCAATACTGAACCAGACTTCAAGTTTTACCGACGCCCGAATCGATCGTTTTATCAATACATAGTCTGATCACTTCCCATTAGCGGAAGTAACAAAATCTTAATGTGAAAGCTGCCAGGAATAAAAGTGACGATATATTCGATGTTACGGAAACCGTGTTTTACTGCCGGTTACAATAACATGTCTGAGCCTAGCAAGAACGGTCTATTGGAATCTTAAACAATACATGAATATATCTATTTGTATCACATTTAACGCTACATACTGTGCCTTAACCAATATCTTAAAATAGAAGATTGTACAGACAACGAAGTGATCATGAGAGTTTCGACACAACTTGGAGATGACACTAGACACATGGGCTCAATTCATAAGCAAAGTCAGCAAAGATATAATTATAAGCTCATGGCAGCTAACAAGGCTGTCTATTCTCTATCTGTAACCTAACTATATACATATCTGTTATCAGGAATGTACATACTGATTAATTAATGTCCATGTGTGTACTCAATCCCCTCAAAAGTACTATATTCTGTACTTTACTAAGAAAGTGTTATCTCAAATATATCACTTGTTATATAGTGTATACTACGAAGTAAGATATTTCACATAAAATTGGACATTACTATTATTTATGATACAAAGGTATGAACATCTCATTTAAGTCTCTTATATCTTATAAGTTTAGCATTTAGTTGAATCACGAAGTAGTCTTGGTATATATTCATGTGTCAGGACATATAAGTCTCAAACTGACGTCAAATATATTTTCTTGGCAGTGAATGGAAGTGCATCAGTTAAATTTGCATAATGACATCGGAAGATAATTGTGCCATAAAGTTTGTGCTATAGAGATTACTAAACGAGTGTCTGTCAGAAACCATTTATCTTACAACTCGAAAACGTATCGAAAACGAAACAAAGAGGAACTGCTGTAAGATACATGTATACATGTATACTTCTGTATGGAAGTGCATCGGTTGAAATTTGCATAGTGACATCGGAAGATGATTGTGCCATAAAGTTTGTGCTATAGAGATTACTAAACGAGTGTCTGTCAGATACCATTTATCTTACAACTCGAAAACGTATCGAAAACGAAACAAAGAGGAACTGCTGTAAGATACATGTGAATGGTATCTGACAGGCACGATTGGAGTAATCTGTTTTCTTACACACCCTAATACCGCATCACTTTAGTATCGAATCAATGCCTTTTGTGTATTCTCATGGTCGCAGTGACGCATTATGATTAATACTTATCAGGACGGTCATGAGTGACGTCATCCGACCTACTGCTTATACTACTCACAGATACTACACAAAATGATTTCCGACACATCTTAGTAATCCAATTATCAAATGCAATAATGCATACCAGATAAGGTAAAAAAAACATGTATTTGTGACGCCGTGAATGGTGATTTATAATTTAGTCATGTATACTGTTATAAGGTTAAAAATGCATCTCAGAAACTAATGATAATAAATAGAACCATTATAGCTGCAATGAGGAGTTGCATTAGATATAGTTCGTGACAGAACTTGTAATTGGAAAGGAATCAATAGAGAAAAGACATTTCACATTTATCACAAGTGTATTCTGGACATTTCACATTTATCATTGGATTGGTCTCTGGCTATCGTCCATTTGTTAATGAAACAAATGGGGAATTACAAGGCATAATCCAGTTGGAGCTTCGGAGCGAGTCACAAAATCAATAGAGAGATAAGCAATCTGGCACGTAGGCTTTAGTATTTTTCCGATGGCGACACACATGAGTTCATGGTCAGATCTAACTTGTAACGAATCAAATGGAGGTATTGTGACATGTGACAAGGACAGGTCAGGCTCGAACACTATGATACCCTCAACATTAGGAGAGGAGAGCGCGGTTTGCAGTCGATCGAGTCGAATCCCGATCGTTCTAAGTTTCCACCAGCTAGTGACGAGCCTGGCCAGTCTGATCCTGTTCTGTAGTGATAGATGGGCTGAGAGTAAGTAAAACTATGTGAGTATAAACTGGTGTTGCGTTTCTTTATTATGCGGGTGTGAATGCTGATAGAGACAACTTGGAGTAAGGGTCATTAGACCAATCACTCCTGGACGGAGACGAGCCGTGATGGACAAGGCGAGTCGCAATGTCATGGCTTAATTGACCACAAGGACCAGGAACGGCAATACATTTAGTAACTGTAGCAGGGTCGCACTGGACGCCCGAAAGCAGTTACGACAATACCAAAATGTCGAGATTTGCGATGTACCTAATTTTCAAAGGTCACTGTGTCTAAAAAGACAGCTGGGGATATAACACAGAACAGGGAATTTCCCACAGAATTCAAAACTGTGAACTGTATTACTATGCGTAATCTATTTTGAATTTTATTCGACTTCGAAGTGAGGGTTGATGAGTAGGCACATATATGTCACTATGGCATCCAGGGGGGTAGAATCATGACGTTCAACACAGACGTAGGTGAATTCGTCTGAAGCATGAGTAACTTATCAATGACTTACGATCAGGAATAGTCCGTCATTAGGTCATCTAGATGGAGTAGCTGGAATTCGATCTCACACATATGTTTGATACCAGTTACCTCTAATGGGTTTCTCACCTACAGGTGTGTAAGAATACCGACTACTAAACAGGTATGTGGTAGCAATGGAATAGTAACAACGCATGTTGATATTGGAGTTACAGAACTTTACTCACCTGACAGAGGAATGGTTGAAGTTCTCACGTTTGCATTCTGAGGAACGACCAGCGCCCTCGTTCGTGGCGTCTTCTTCTTACACATAAAGACGACGATAAGTACTATGACAACTACAACCACGACGACGACTACTCCAATCCCTGCCTTGACAACCTCTATAGGGAACGCCCTTGAACAAAACAAGATTGATTGGTCTAATAATATCAGAATTATAGTACATGTATGTTCATACATTGAAGAAACATTAAAACAGTTGTTTGTGTTAAATTGAAGTCAGCAGTATTCCAGATACATCATCCTTGTGTAGATAATCAGGCCACGACAAGTAAACCATTGTCGGATGCGCATCCCATTCCACGACGTCATACAATCAACAAAGCCACAGAACCTGATCATGTAATCTCCACTTAGTTCCCTCTTGCGACAAACATGCGGTACTGGGATCCGTTCCTCTAAGGTGAATTCCCATACTTTAACACAGGCTTACGATAGTCGTAGCGCCATGATCGCTTTGCTGGACGGGGTCCTGGTGACCAATTCTGTCACGAGGACATAGAAGAAATTAATTTATTTTCGCAAACATATACATCACTTAACTAGAACTTAACGCGTGAAATGACTTCCACGTGATTGTTCACATGTACACAACCAGATGTAGAAAGTATATTATTGCCATAACGATGAGTGGCATCTGTACTTGCTACATAATACTTACATGAGTTGCGTGTAACATTATTTACGTTATATCACATGTACTTATCATTTTTGGGGGAAGACCGAAGTGATGATAATCTCATGATGAGACGTTCACGACTTCAGTGCATCCCACAGGCATGTGTATGGCACTGGTAAAACTAGAATGATAATCAGGTTAAATACTATATTCGAACCCTCGTCGATCCTTGGATTCAGAAACGTCAAAAAGGACGTACGTCTGCAAAGCGATTGGACAAACGCTGACCCTAAGCTGTTTCATGAACCAAAGTTGACAATGCGTTATACATGTACATGAAGTTTGTAATGGACATTGAGCGACTTACTCTTCGTCACTTGGACAGCAATATCGCTGATATATTTCCCCACAACATCCGTACAAACACGAGAAGGACCGAGAGCCAGAAGTAAGCGAGGTTTCACGACATTCCACGCAGTACACACCTGTCATGGAGCCAAACACAGAGTCAATTAGACACGGGGAAGAATAGTTTCATTTGTTTAATCCACTTGGATGCATTTAACCCCTACATCTTTCATCACAGAGCGTTTCAACAGGTACGTAAGAACTATTCTTCTGTGTGTGCGTTACACGCCTCTGAAAGCAATATTTTAGCTGCATGCGTTTACTTAATGCGTTAGGAAGGAACAATGTTACATATGTCTTAAAGGGTTACCACTTTAATGTTATGAACATGAGCGTGACAAAGGATGTGTGTGTGTGTGTGAGTATGTGTGTGTGTGAGTGTGTGTTAGTGTGTGTGTGTATGTGTCTGAGAATGTTTGTGTGTGAGTGTGTGTGTGTGTGAGTGAGTATGTGTGTGTGTGAGTGTGTGTTAGTGTTAGTGTGTATGTGTCTGAGAATGTGTTTGTGAGTGTGTGTGTGTGTGTGTGTGAGTATGTGTGTGTGTGTGAGTGTGTGTTTTAGTGTTAGTGTGTGTGTGTGTGTGTGCGTGTGCGTGCGCGCTAATAATTACATATCAAATGGATGGAAACACATCATCAGTTGTGTTATGTTATCTCATTCCTGCAATATACTAACATACGTCAGATGGCTGTTCTACTATTGGAAACGGCTACCCGTATCTCGAAGCAGTTATTTATGCCCTGTACACCGCATCTTCTAATCCGGTGTTTGAGACCAAAGATGTTGTGATATTTGATATGATATTAGTATATCACTGGAATTTAATTGATAGCGTAACAGTATAACAGTGAACTTAGGTCGTACCTTTGTCCGCGGTACCAGTGGCGCTATACACATAGACTTGTGACCTATCGACTTCTGCCTGAGAGCGGTCAGATAACTGTACCATCTAATTTAATGAAATATTCTGTAAAACCAATTGATCTCCCTTGTTCATCTATGTTTTCCTTACATCTTCAACGTGGCATCTTGCCTCAGTCAAAATATATTTTACTACTGGCCATAGTAGCCTTTTAGCAGCTTTGTCAACCCATTTAAAAGCTATTTTCACTTGTCATCATAATAAACTAGTCATCATTGCTACTATTATATTTACCTTTTATGGACTTACCTGTAAGTTTGAATATAACCAGTATTGAAAAAAGTAAAATAGTTTCCATCTTTCAAGTCACACCATTGTTGCTGACATGTCCACACCGTGAGAACATACATGAGATACATACACAGAGGGTTGTGCTCGAAGCAGTTATTTGTATTGATCATTATTGGTCCCTACCAGGATGTTTGAACTGATCTACCGCTTGCAGCTAATGGCTTTCAGATTCATGCTCAAGTATACCCGGGCAAAGAGGTTTCAGCATGAAAGAAACTGAACTCGTGAATCGATTAAAGAGCTTTGCAGTCCTATACAATGACCATGGACAACACGAGGGGTTATATATGTAATTTCCATTACTAAAACAACCTTATAGTGATTGCAAACACACTATGAACCAAGCAGAAGAAGGTATTGTTTCACTTCATATGAGATTGTTTTGACATAAGCCCAAATTGCTTTTATCTGAATAATCTATATAATTACAGACCACCGATATCGACCGTTTTCATATGAATATATAAGGCAATGAGTTCACTTGCTATGATTACTGTCAATATAATAAGCACATACAAAGTAAGTATCGGTATGTTTTACATAGTGTTAGCTCACAGTCAGATCGTCTACATTTCTTTGATAAATATCAAAGATAATTTCAGAGCATCGCATTATTCTACATGGTGTCCTGAAAGTGGGATCGTCTGGACGATGCATGATACGTGCATAAGTATTACGAGGCAGGGTTTGGTGAAAAGTTAATATCTGGCACATTCCTTCTGCATGATTTAGAATGTGGTCGATTTTTCGAACATAATGCAATAAGGATCTGTATTAAAAAAAACCCAAATCTATTGATCATCTTAGTACAAGGGCCCCAAACCTCAAATAATACATCAACGAGTTTATCGAGAAACTGAGATGTTTCGTGTCCAACAACACTGCATGATGCATGCTCTGAGTGATAATGTATTAGACAAAATCGTCATATTATGACAACAAACGTCGTACTGTTGGAGGTATGGCGACACTCTAAAAGGAGTTTTAATGTGCTTGTGTTTGTGTATAAGTGTTCGTGTGTTCGTTGCTAAAATGAGGCTTCCATTCTGTTGAATTGATATATGTGACTACATACTTAAATGTATGCCTGATCGTCGGATATTATGTACATATTGTCGATCTAGGTTTGTGTCTGTGTTGTACATGCATGATCGACCCGTGAAGATCCGGGGTAGAATAGGTCGTCAGCAACCCATGCTTGCCGTAAAAGGCGATTATGCTTGTCGTAAGAGTGCGGTGTTAAACAACAAACAAACCAAACCAAAACATGCATGATCGCTCAACCACGTATACCTAGATGGGAGACAGATAATATACGAGAGAAATCGAGAAAATCCAACAGAGGTGGAGTGATATTTTCCTTTTTTATCATCTCATTACTTCCGAACCATCGGTATTATTGATATCGTTACGTTTCAAAATGATGAACGCATTCATCTGTATTTTATATTTAAGGCACTAGTTACTTTGTCCTACACATGACAAAAGATATCATGAAACGTGTATTGTCAGCGTGTATTAATATCTCTCCATGCTCCTACATTGCTCACATGACCATTCACATTATATAATCTTCAAAAAAAAAGAAATGTAATAAAGATACTTTTGGCAATAAGAGCAAAATTAGCGGACCAAGAGGTGCAAAATGTATAGGTGTAATGTGTTATAGTGTCAGTGACAAATTTCCCGGATCAAAATGATTGTGAAAGGGGACTTTTATATTATATTCAATGAAAGAAAATGACTCATTGATTACGAATTGCCATTGGATTTCATTTCTTTCTTCAGGAAAATGACGAATGTATTTTAAATTTTCAACGAAGCATGTACAAGATCTATTTTCGTTTCAGAATATTTTATTCATTTGCACGGTTATACAACCTCACTTGAGTCACATTCTTTTTACTTCCGAGTTTATGGGCGCTATTGAGAAGCACTTAACCAGTAACATGGCGTGTCAGTACAGAAACGTAGGGCTTATTATCTCCTACGTAGGTCTTGGTATCTTCTAAGTAGGAGATAATAAGTCCTACGTAAGAGATAGTAAGTACTACGTTGGAGATACATGTAATAAGTCCTACGAAGGAGCTTCTTAGACAAAACAAAATTTCACCGTGGCCCTACTACGCTTTCGTATGTCAGACGGTCGATATGAACTCCCCTGGCCTTCCAGATCCCCGAATTTGAACCTGATAGAGCACTTGTGGGATGAATTAGAAAGACGGCTACGCCGACGTCAATAAAAACCCAAGACGTTGCAGCAGTTGGCTTTTGCGTTGCAGGCCGAGTGGGCTACCATTCCCCAGGATGTGATTCGCATTCTCGTGTCTTCCATGGGCAGGAGATGTCAGGCCCCCATCGATTCCAACGGGGGACATACGCGTTATTGATGGAAGCTGACCTTCACCTTGGACTTTTCCTATGCACCGATAACTGAGATGACAACAATCAGTGTTCTCTCCGAACATTTTGCCTCAATACCTTGTACGGTTACTCGTATAAATGTATTTTCCCTCCTCACACAAATCTGGCTTTGCGGTTTTATTCAGAGCATGTGTAGCGAATCGTTGGCAATATTGAGAAAGGGGACTTTTATATTTATTCAGTGAACGAAAATGACTCACCTCCTTCTTCAGAAAAATGACGAATGTATTTTCAATTTCAACGAAGCATGCACATAATGAGATTCTATTTTCGTTCAGAAAACGTTTTTCATTTGAACGGTTATACAACTCTCAAAAACAACTTGAGTCACATTCTTTTAACTTCCTACTTGGTTTGCGCTATTGAGAAGCACTGAACCAGTGACATGGCGTGTCAAGACGTCGATATGAACTCTAAGCATCCTTTGTTCTGTTATCTTTCACTTCCCGACAACGACACTTGTAAAAGGTATTATAATTATGTTGTACAGTAAATTTATGGGCAACCTGAAGACCGCAGTAAGCAGCATAACCTGCTGCTATGAAACAGTTGGAGCTAGAAAACCAGACAATTATAAAATGTGCAACGCCCCACGCTGTCGGGATAGGAAGACACACAATGATTCAAAGCACCGGGCTTCACCACCCGTATAATTATGTCTCCTCTAGCGATAAGCATATGTCAATCATGCTATACCTCGGGTTAGAATAGGTCCCCAGGAACATAGGCTGGTCGTCAGAGATAACCATAAGGATGCTCGGGAACGAGGTCGATGGTATGTGAACGTACCCCGACGCGGTATATATACTGAACAACAAAGGTTCCCATGACATTGAATAAGATTTAATGCAAAGTTATGTTTTTTACCAAATCTGAAACAATATCGGTTTGCAACGGATAAAAGACTTCTGTAAGTGTTCAAATATATCTTAAATAAGAAAACTATGGACATTACACAGATTTTACTAGTAACCAAAGCCTGCATCCATCATGTTCACTAAAACAGTATTCAATGTCCAGAGCTACGTCCCTTGAGAGCTATGATTGTGGGTTCGAATACCGGTACGCTCCGATTATCTTTCTAGGTTTGTAAGCACCATACCCGTGCTCGTGGGTTTCACCGAAGTGGTAAACGTCTACGGCCTGCATCATTTCGGCCTTTCCTCCCACATTAGGCTGACACGTCGTGATATAACTTGAATGTTGTTTAAAGCACCGGTAAACCCAACTCACTCACTCACGAAAACAGTTTATTTCTGTGCGGTACATTGTATCTTCCTGTAGCAGTTGTAATCACAGAACCAACAATGGTGTTTTCTTACCAGAGATGTATCCGAGTATTCGCTAGCTGATAACTACGGAATACCCGGATTCTGGAAGGCTTGGTATCCGCCATCATAGTCTGCATCGACGTGCGTCCCCTCTGAAGTCCACATTCTTCTGCCAACGATGCTTGAGTGCCTGAATCCCACTGGTGTAGAATGCTTCCTTCTGGTGGTGAAAAAAACATAAACAGCAGAAATGACGTCATCGTCATTTGCATACTGCTTCCCAGAGAGTACTTTATTCAAGTGCTGGAAGAAGTGGAAATAGGACTGTAGCGACTCTGGTTAATAAGGAGTTCAAAACCAGTCATGCACCGCAGCCATGACGACAACAGACGTGTGCAGAAATGCATTGTCCTTAAGTGCAACACACCTTTTGTTATTATCCAACGACGCTTTAGAAAAAGTATTTGATCTCCTCGGAGGATGAAACATTAGATGTTTTCATTGTTTAGCCTCTGGTTGATAGTGGTGAATCCAGGACCCATCCATTGATACAAACCGCTCAGCATAATGAGTGTTGATTCATTTTGATGGGGCCTCTAGATCGTGTTATTCATTGGTGAACATGCAGTACTACTCAAACATACATTCTCCCACAGCAAGAGATGACATGTATGTACAGTTGCATGTAGGCATGGTCACCATCTCTGGTCCAGTGCATATTCGCCAACTTACCCTGAAGTGTTGAAAATGTTAAATAATTAGACTTTCAATACTGCTTCGATTTTCAAAGAAATGATTTATTCATTAAATTATGTACATATATATCTTTTCGTAAATCCAAATCTTTCTCCAGAAGATAACAATAGCGGTCGCAGTGCACCTGCAACATATTTATCTGATCATGTTCAAGAAATCAGCGAAGCAAGTAATTCACCCTTCACGCATTTCTCTTAACTTCCTTGATGGTGCTCTTTGGCTTTGACGAATTCTCGAGGAAAGATTTCACTGACAGCGATACTGAATCTTTTATGGCCATCGCACAATGGTTGATCGTTGCGGAATGACGGAGCTGACATTTTAACCAGTGTATTAACAGCGTCTTGCGTGATGTGTTTGGGTGTCCCTCACGCTTCTTTGAAAAATCGAAGTTTTCTTCCACTTTGGGTATTTGGGTGCAGACATCTCAGTTTGCTGTTACAAAATGTGAGTGTTACCGCTTGTGTTGAAAAATACGGATATGCCATTATATCCTGCAATATACCCTGTACAATTAAAATGATGAATCACTTATATTAGATAATGCGACTGTGTCCAAGTGACTACCAGATAAGTGCGACTGTGTCCCAGTGACAACCAGATAAGTGCGACTGTGTCCCAGTGAATGACAGATAAGTGCGACTGTGTCCCAGTGACTGCCAGATAAGTGCAACTGTGTCCAAGTGACTACCAGATAAGTGCGACTGTGTCCAAGTGACTGCCAGATAAGTGCAACTGTGTCCAAGTGACTGCCAGATAAGTGCGACTGTGCCACAGTGACTGCCAGATAAGTGCGACTGTGCCACAGTGAATGACAGATAAGTGCGACTGTGTCCCAGTGACTGCCAGATAAGTGCAACTGTGTCCAAGTGACTACCAGATAAGTGCGACTGTGTCCAAGTGACTGCCAGATAAGTGCAACTGTGTCCAAGTGACTACCAGATAAGTGCGACTGTGTCCCAGTGACAACCAGATAAGTGCAACTGTGTCCCAGTGACAACCAGATAAATGCAACTGTATCCAGGTGACAACCAGATAAGTGCAACTGTGTCACAGTGACTACCAGACAAATGCGACTGTGTCCCAGTGACTGCCAGATAAGTGCGACTGTGTCCAAGTGACTGCCAGATAAGTTCGACTGTGTCCCAATGACTACCATATAAGTTGAGAGTTTCTTCACAAATGGGTTTCCAGAATTTAAATGTTTTCACAGATTGTGTATTTTAGAATATGAGACCCCGTTAAATTCCCTTTCTAACATAACCCTTTTAGATTAGATGTCTTTATAGTATGTAGACATGAAGCCCTTTTTTATCTATGGGTTGAATGAGAGAAAGTATACGGGTAGATGCTAGTATGTGTTGTCGGCATCCTCACATAACATCTGTTAACGGTCGTTTGTCATGCATTTGCCAAACACTTCCTGGTACAGCTCATTTGCATAGGGAGCCTCATCGGTGGAAAGACCTGTTTATACCCAGGGTATCGTTACCCTGAATAGAACACTCCCGTCGTAGGGACACAGTCCACAGGTGGGATAAGACTGTCTCGTCCCTGACAGTATTTGGATGTATATAAAGGACACGAACGATACAATTACAGATGGAAACGTAAGTATGTATGCTTTGTTTGTTTGTTTGCTGATCAACGCCACACTCAGCAATATTCCAGCTATGTCACGACGGTCTGTAAATAATTGAGTCTGGGCCAGACCATCCACTGACTGACATTAAGACCATCGATCCTAACCCGGATCTTCACTAACAGTGTCACAATTAGAAGCGTACAATACGACGTACCGTGACACTATAAAGTGGTATATAGGTAGATTTAATACTAGTCTATAGATGTAAACACATTTGATTTTGAAAGCCCGGGCCAAGTAGGACCGAACACAAGCCAAACACTTCTGAGAGAGGCTGTGTTGAGAATGTAGTGGGAAAAGGGCTTCACTTTCGAGCACCTTGTTTTCTTTAAATACCGCGATCTGAGACACTATTAAGTGGTATATAGTTAGATATAATAATACCAGTCAAGAGATGTGAATCCATTTGATGATACATATGTGAGATTTAAGTTGATTTTGTGAGCCCGGGCCAAGTCGCGACCGAGAATGACGTCAGAGACCCCCAAAGTTGGGTATGGTACAAAACTCGAGCTTTCAGAATTATGGACGTTCAATAACATGTCACTAGTAGCGTGTGTGACCACCAAATGCCTCAATACACGCAAAAACTCTTCGACGCACAGAAAAAGTCAGTCGTTTGATGAGGTCACGTGGGATTTGACGCCATTCTTTTTGGAGGGCCAAGATCAGTTCTTGCCGGTTGGCTGGAGAGTGTGGTCGTTGTCGAACACGACGATCCATCAAGTCCCAGAGGTGTTCTATTGGGGACATGTCGGGTGAGCGTGCAGGCCATGGCAGGACGTTGACGTTGTTGGCTGCGAGGAAGTTAGTGACAATTCTGGCTGTATGGGCTCTGGCGTTGTCATGCTGATAAATGACACCACGTGGCTGCTGTTGGAGAAATGGTAGGACAACTGGACGAAGAATGTTATTCATGTAACGCTAAGCTGTCAAGTTTCCGTCAACGATGACCAGCGGTGTCCTCTCCTGCCCACAGATCCCTCCCCACGCCATGACACTCCCTCCAACATATGGTACGATCTCCTGCACGCAACACGCCGCCGTTCGTTCACCCCTTCGGCGGTACACACGTTGTCTTTCATCAGCCCTAAACATACAGAATCGACTTTCGTCAGTGAAGACAACCCTCTGCCAGTCACGTCGTTGCCAACGCCGTACAGTCCGGGCCCATCTCAATCGCAGACGACGATGTTGCGCTGTCAATAGCTGTCCTCTGTATGATCTAAAAGCCATGATTCCATGAGCCCTGAGTCTCCTGACCACTGTCTGTCGACTAACCCTGTGACCTAAGGCATTTGTCGCCGATGACGTCACTGTCAGGAAGCGATTTCGGAGGTGCAAGGTACGCAAGTACCGGTCATCATGGGGCGTGGTCACCCTGGGTCTGCCTGTTCTTGGCCTGTCAGCGGTCCGCCCTGTCTGTCTGTAACGTTGCATCAAGTTGGTAACGGCAACACGGGAGCAACCGAAGGTTCGTGCAATATGGGCGTGGGTGGCTACCATCTGTACCATACCCAAGGCTCGTTCACGTTGTTCGACTGTGAGTCGTGGCATTTCTTTTGTGTTTTTTTATCACTGTGGACGTCTGACTTGCTGTTGCAATCGTTTTATACCCTTACCCGCACGTGAATTTGCAGTTGTCCGTGGTGCACGTGTTTTTCACTTTTTCGCGTGTTATCTCGCAAACATGTAACAGACGATTAACATTTTTCTGCATACACTCTTGTTGTATTTAGGTTATGCGTTTTAGATAGACTTTATCGAACAAAAGTATACTTTTTCTGAAATTTATATTTTCGGTAGGTAAAGTTTCTTTCGAACGTCAGTTTATATATACTCTTAAAAAAAATATCCTTGACACTGACTTTCACAATGTAATATAATGCGATTGTTTCAAAATAGGACACGGAAACCATAATTGAAACACTGTTTGAAGATCAATGTACACAATGCTCAAAACATTAATCGTGTCACCTAGACAGACATACGTACACGATACAGTTAATGTCACAGGGGTACAGAAAATGTCAGTATCGGTTGTGCCAACCACGTGCATCAATCACCGCTTGACACCGACGACCCATAGATGCAATCAAGTTGTCAATAACACGCTTTTGGACGTGCTGCCATTCATGCTGAGGTGCATCAAGATGCGCCGGAAGTGTTTGGTGTTTCTGCGAACGCATCGATCTAACTCGTCCCACAGATGCTCAATCGGGGACAAATCTGGTGACCGGGCAGGACAAGGTAATGTCTGGATGTTGTTGTGCTGTAAGAAGTCCTGACAGACACGTGCAATATGCGGTCGAGCGTTGTCCTGCTGTCCTGCTGTCCACCATGAACGTTGACGTGAGGAAGAACGTAAGGCTCTAGGATCAAGTCTCTGTAACGCACACCTGTCAATGCACCTGCCACATGCACGAGAGGCATCCTACCACCGTGATAAATTTCGGCCAATACCATGACACTCCCGCCGCCAAATGGGACAACCTGCTGCACACAGTTGGGGGCGTAACGTTCACCCCGACGTCTGTAGACACGTGCGCGCCCATCAGCACGTGTGAGTAGGAAACGGGACTCGTCAGTAAACAGTACATTTCTACACCTTGCACGTGCCCATCTAACCCTCTGTTGGCACCAAAGCAGACGGTCCACCAGATGACGTGGGGTCAATACATGACGTCGAACAGGCCTTCGTGCAAAAAGTCCAGCCTCCCTCAGTCTGTTGCGTACCGTTTGATCTGATATTCTGCGTACCCCAGGGATCTGTGTGGTTGTAGACGTGGCTGTGGTAGTGCGGTCTCGGAGGTGTCGCAGCCGGATGTATCCATCTTGTGCTTGGGTTGTCACCCTTGGTCTGTCGTCGACTCTGTTGGTGTTGTTGTATCGGGTCCGCAGTGCGGAGATTGTCTGTCTGGATACGCCAAAGTGCCTGCATGGCCACATCTTGCTGAGTTGCTCCAGCTTGTAATCTCCCAATGGCGTTGTACCGTTGTGCTGCATTCAGTCTTGGCATTCTGTCACCGCCTCTACTGCCGTTATAAGGACTGTATGAACAGCCGTCGATGTGGATTTTTATACCCATTCAGCAGGGGGGGCCTGCATGCCTAATGCAGGATCCTGTGCTGCACGTTTCTTACAGGCGGTTGCGTTTGGATGAAGCTGTAAAATTGATCCCCAAACGCTACGTTTATGTGCTTTGCATGTGTTTTCGCGAAGTATAGACACATCATCTTTCTGTTTGACTTATTTGGTTCTCATTTAATGTAATTATGTTAGATATTTGGTAAAAAGTGGTTTTACATCTATGTCAAGTTTCTTTTTTGAAGAGTATATATTCCGTCTTTTGCGAAAGATCTTTTGAATGCGACCTTCACATTTTACCACGCCCTTACTACTCAAAAAGGCATTCTTGACGCATCCTCCCATACGAAACTTCTTTACTGACAAAGCTGAAATTTGACATGGATATCCCTTCTAATGATATATGACTCCATATGTTATTCAAATCATTGTATTTTATAGTCCAGATCAACATAAATTGAAATGGGTTGAAGACATGTGAATCAGCAGTAGCCATAACAGTGTTTTCTTCTTTTGGGCAGAATGTATTGCATCACACGTTCTCAAACAGAAGACGGAATTGTAATTTATGTTTTTCCTTTCATGTACTGCTCTACATTTGTTGAGTGTTGATGTTTATCACTGTAATAGAGTTGACTTAATATAAAACAATAAAGTTGTATTCAATAAATTGCTTTCAGAAGGAATATAGACAAGAGAATGTAAACATTATGTCAATGATAAGGACGCTTAATAATGCCATTAGTTCAGAGGTCGAGGTAACTAGATAGAATCTGCTCACTAAAGTATACTAGCCACATAAAGAAACTGTGCACGGAGAAAATATATTCTGGATTGAAATACAACACAGCAAGAACAAAATGATGCAGACGCTGTAGCAGCTGAATGATCGGACCATAAGAAAATGTCAACGGGACCTGAACAACATCTGTAACGATGACGTCAGAAGATCAAAATGGAGTAGGGGGTCAAACGACAAAGTCACAAAGTCAATAACGGGTATGACCATCCTGTGTGTGAATCACAGCAGTGCATCGGCGACGCATGGAGTCCACGAAATGGGCATGGAAGGCCTGGGGAATGGCCTGCCATATCCTCCTCAAATCCTGTGCCAAGTCACGGACGTTATCTGGAGGATGTGGAAGACGACGCAGACGGCGCTCCATTTCATCCCACACATGCTCTATTGGGGAGAGATCTGGAGAAATTGCACGCCATGGCAGTAACATGACATTGTTATGGTGAAGGAAATCCATTGCGACATAGCCGTGTGAGGACGAGCGTTGTCCTGTTGAAATGTCAATCCCGGGCCATGGCGTTGCAGGAAAGGAATGACCACAGGCCTCAGAATCTGATCTCCGGTGAGATTGCCCTGAACAACCACCAAAGGGGTTCGGTGCCGTGCTGTTATCCCACCCCAAATCATCACAGAGCCACCTCTTAAACGATTCCTCTCCACAATACAGTTGCGTGCATAACGTTCTCCCAAACGCCGGTAGACACGTTGGCGCCCGTCACTGTGGGAAATGTTGAACCTCGATTCATCTGTAAAGACAACATTTCTCCACCATATTCGAGGTTGGCGAACATGATTTCGACACCATCTTAGACGGTTGACTCGATGACGGTGTGTCAGGATGGGACGTATGGCAGGGCGTCGTGGTCGAATCCCGTACTGACGTAGACGATTCCTGACAGTGTTGGGATGGATACGGCGCAGTCCAGGAATTGTCTGGGACGTCGTTACTGCCGTTTGGAACCTGTGTCGGAGATGTGTCACTCGAATCCATCTGTCCTGTCTTGGCGTCGTTACTCGGGGACGTCCTGAACGTGGGTGGTCGGCAACGTCATTTGTGTTCTGATAACGCCTCACCAATGCCGATATCGTGTTACGATGGCATTGGAAATGTGTTGCCACCTGTTGTTGCCTCATTCCCGCTCGGATCATTCCAATGGCTTCATGACGCTGTGCAGCTGTCAATCTTGGCATGATTTGCTTGTGATATGCTTGTGTCTGCGCCTGAGAAGTTTTGAATTTTTGAATAACCACAGATCATGCTTTCCAAAGTGACAGCGAATTTTGAGTTGCACATGCTGTGTACAGCTGCACAGGTTGCACGTGCAGTAACACATTGCACGTCCATAGGCCCCCATCAATGACGTCATATCGCATGGCACGTGCATGAGCGTTTGAATGTCTCCAATAATTGCTGTGTTCAAACCGATATTTCATATATGGACGGTGTGCCCTTATATCTATATTTTCTCCGTGCACAGTTTCTTTATGTGGCTAGTATATCTGGTTACATTTTGACTTCTGTTATTGATGTTTTGATCACAAAACTTGGTAGATGACTTCTTAGCGAACTTAAATAACTTCCCATATGAAGAAGGTTTCGGTAACGTATAACGGAAAGGCTTTGGGGTTGTTCTCATATCTTCATATATGTATTCTACCAAGTCATTGAAGAATTCTTGATTCTGTTTGGCTAATAATTGTGAATCGGGGAAATCAATGGTTATGCTTCTTTTATCACCGCTTCCACGAAAACACGTTAACGAATCAGATCTAATGTTGTATATGCTCACACAGGAAAATAAACGTTTCAGCAATGATAAAATCCATGTCAAAGGAATAACAATTGTCTAAACTTTCCACCAATCGCTGCGTCAGGGCTCCTTCGGTCGCGCTGTTCTCCCGCGCTGGTGGTGAAATCAATAGCTTCTCGCTTGCTTTAACACGGACTTGCCCTTTGATCAGAAACAAAAATATCGGGCATTCTGCAGACTGGGGTGAATCACTTTTTATCTTACTTCATATTAAAACACTAGCTTCTGTCTGATTAAGGATGCGGCAAATATTTTCCATGTAGCCCGCTCACGGGATCATGAATTATATATGTTGATACCAAGTATTAGAACAAAGATAAGTGTTGACGACAAACATCGATCCTATGCAAGAATCTTTACGTCTGTAAAACAAAACACCAAAACACATCCGACTGTTTTCACGTACCAAAACACGTGTGTAGGGTGTCAATCCTGATTTTAACACTTTCACGGATGGTTGATTAATCTCTGTGGACCATATGTTCAAAGTTACACAGTCTGTGATTAGCAGACAATGCACAGGTTCCAACATGTTGACGTTCAACCCCGTCCAGGGCGTCCAAGGTCACCGACAGGAGTACAGGATCGATTGATCCGAAACCGGGTTCCACGAACCTAGCTCAAACGGCGAATCAATTTGCTGCAAACCTTCATCAGCTACTGGAGAACGAGTTACGGGTCTGACGATTTATTAGAAATCGTCATCATGCTACCCATCTCCATGCTTGACGGCTACATTTTGTGCCACCCTAAACTCAGCGTTATATTGTCAACAGAGGTAAACAACGCCGGAACAGTGGTAATCGTCGCTGCTCACGTGTCATTGTTTTCAGATGAGTCCCGAATCGCTTTGTACTTCCTTGATAGGCGTGGTCTTGTCTGGCGACGTCAAAATGAACGTCAAGCCAATGTCAACCTTAGACCTCAAGACCTTGTGAGATTCAAACACATTATGCCTCGTCGAGTGAATGAACCACATTTTACAAACCGTGGCGGTATTACGCACTACTGATCCAAACACGTCAAATTTCCCATCTTACCCCTATCGTCCTCCAAGATCGTTGGCGATTAAAACCTCTACTATTGTAATGTGTTTCCAACTGGTTCATTATTATCATACAACTAAATTTATTAGTAGAAACTAAAATCTCTGGACATCTGAAGTTATTTCCGAGTACCCCCATCTGTTTTAAGAGTATATTTGGACTATGTACCAAAGATTTCGACTCAGTAATAACATGGGAATATATTCTTTAATATTTGCGATATTATTATATACTAGTATATTAATATGGTATTCCTTATATGTTAAAACACGTTTAGAATGGTTTCAAAAGTAAAACAATTGTCCAATTTTGACAACAGTCTAAGTTTTCTCACTTGATTGCTTTGTTCAATAAACAGTCTCTAGGTTGTGTGGAGAGACATTTTGTTATGTTTCTACCATGTGGGTATATGAACACGAACGCTGTTTTGTTTTCTTTCAGTGGAAGTTGGCCGAACAGAGCCGCGATGTCTGTACAATGCAGTATCATGCTCCTGGTCTGTACATTTGCTGTGTGGGATTTGAGCACAGGATTACAGGAAAATGCGTAAGTATACAAATTTGATTCTTTTTTCATCACTGTAACCTCGTTAAAATATATTAATCAGCACATGCTGTGCCTGCATCTTAACTACTTTTTCAAATGTAGATAGATAAAAGTTGACTTTTGAAAAGTCATAAAATATACTTAATATCTACTTCGGCAGTTTTGATTGTTATGTGTACAGGGAGATTATATTTGTTGGTTTGCAAACGTATTGGTTGTTTTCAAACAATGCCAATCAAGCTATCTCCCACTTGTTGAACTGTACATCCTGTGTCACACTACAGATGCGTGTGATAGTGCCAGATCGTAGCAACGACAGTCTTAAGTCTAGGTTAAAGTATGGGAGTTAAGATAACTCTTAGCGCTACGACAGCTTTCTGGAACTGACCCTTGAATTCTGAAAGTAGGCCGTTTTATTGAATTAAATTAATACATGTTTACTATTAACGTGTTTAATCTGTTGCACTCAATTGGATTATGCTGCGGACGGCGTTGACGTCAGCCTTTTTACAGGCAAGTAATAAATAAAATACTGAACTCGCCATCGTGTAATACCAATTTTATGGAACTCGTGAAACTATTTACGTGTTTCATAACATTGGTATTACACCGGAGAGAGTTTAGTATTCCAAATGTGTCATCCACTTGGTTGAGCCATACTCTGCCCTCCATGACAAACCGGAATCAGATATATCAAGAACTCGATATGTATCAGTTACACAAGATACAAGATACAAGATATAGAGGATATTCCATGTGTCGAGTGAAATATCCTGTTTTTCTCATTGAATGACGAGGGGGAAGGATATATTTTTACGAGTGGCGTAGTCACTCGTGAACATATCTCCTTTCTCCCGTCTCGAGAGGAGAGAAAAGTGATTGCTTTCACGAGAATATACTCTTTGTGTAGTTGTCTGCCGGAACATTATGATAATTCGTTACAAATGTAAAACCTTGAAACGCAAATTATCTCTACCCATCACTCACAGACGTTTCACCACCCCTTGTAATTGCAACTTAAGTTTTATGTCTGCAATCTCAAAAAAATATAAACAAAAGTAGCCAAAAATATATGTCACTAAAACATTTAACAAAACATATTCTTGAAATATATGAGACTGTTGTTGAAAGCGAAAGAATACACGTTGGTCAAGTAACAAAACATTCTCGGTTGACGAGTTAAATGGGACATATATTTTATATTATTACGAAAAATATTAAAGAGGTTGACAAACAGCAAGAATCGATATAAACTCCATCAATGACCATCTGTCATCATTTTGCCCTGTCAGTTTGGAACTAACGTAGGCGCTAGACACTTAGATAAAGGGGAGACAGTTTGCGGGAAGGTAATTATAACTTTTGTAAGACAATAGTTCAGTCAAAGTGTTATGTTGACTGCAATGAAGTATCAAGTGTTATGTTCACTGCCATGAAAATAACTCTTTTCACAACTTAAAAAAACCCTCGGTCATTTACACCGAAATATAATATTTATTCAACATCGATTATGGGGTAAACAAATACAACATTAGCTCTTAAGTGCTATTTTTCCGAGAGCACATTCATATAAAAATAACATGGACAGAGAATGTGCACGAAATATGGAATATGATACAGTAATTTACGTAGCTGTTTTACATTCTGCAATATAAGCAAATGAACATGTTTGAATACAAAAGGTTCTTTCCAATATATATGATCTTATATATGTTTTTTTAAATTCCAAATGTAAATGATATTTCATTAAAATGAAACTTATCTTCAACATCTAAACAAATACGGCATTTCCTTTCAGTAATATTTAAACCTATATATATATTCCAGTTCCTATTGTCTAATTCTGGATTAAAATCTCTTTAATCATTGGCATGATAGTGACAGGTAGCCACTGAATAGTGTTTGAATGACCTGCCTCCGGAACAAAGTTTCTTGTATGTCTATATTGATAATCAAAAATAGTAAATGCAACATTATTTTCTAATATTTAAGCTATCTTTTAATGAATAAACACGCGGAAGTATTTAAGAGATATTTATGCATATCAATGGTTCTCCCAGTATAACATATTAAAAAGAGATCCAACAGAAAAATGTGAATTCCCAACTCTAAACACTCTCGTGTTGGTGACAGTTTTCATACATGTACATATCATCGACACAACACATGATCACAACAGACAATACACATGCCACGTATTATGTTAGACTTGTTCAGAATTCTTTTATATATTACGCCCCCAAAATACGAAAACGTCTACATTGTATATATTTTCTCACCACATGTACGTCCCTAGTATGGTGATCTCCCTTCAGTGACTGACGATCTCTAGCCCATTTTTATATTGTGTTGTTCATTAATACTAACTGCTCTTTAATATTCTCAACTAGTTTTAAAACAAATCTGTGATATTCTAGTTATTGTACTGTCCATCGTCGACAGGTTTTTTATTTAGTCTAAATATATGTATCATTAATGTATAAGTTCTCGTCACGATATGGCTGACATACTGCCGATGTGACGTTAAATATTAACTCACTCACTCACTCACTCACCACATGTACACCACGTAGTAGCGGTACGATCGAAATAGAATTAATTGCCATTGGAATATGTTTGAAAAGAGTTGGGCTTTGTGTAAATTTAGAATTGAAATTACGGCATATAATACCAATTTACCACAAAGCCCAACTCTTTTCAAACATATTCCAATGCCAATAGCAAATGTAAAAATTCCATGCCTGCTTAGTAAACCGAGACTATCTAATATTTAATAACAAACTCTGTATTTGAGTACCTGTCTAAACGTGTGCACGTGCAGATTTTCAATACAATGAATGATCACAACACACGATACACAGGCCACGCATTTTATTATGTTGGGCTTGTTAAGAATTGCTTTTAGCGTTTCCAAAATAGAAAAACACAAACTTTAGTGCCATTGAAATATGCTTGAAAAGAGTTGGGCTTTTGTACATTAGAATGTCAATGTATTTGAAAATTTAAAGTTCTTTTGTTTACAATCATCTGCCTGTTTAGTAAACTGAGACTATCGACAAATATTTAATAAAACTCCCCGTGTTTGTATCGTCTTATAAAGCCATAACGCGTGTTAAATAGTTTCATAAGCGGCATGTGTGAGTGGGTGAGTGAGTGAATAAGTGATGTCACTCATATAATCAATTCACGATTCCTTCAAAATTGAATGTATTAGTCACTGGTTTAAAGCCAATTAATCAGATCAGCCATTTTAATCGCAAATGGATTAATCACTTTTTCATGTGTGTACATTCAGTAAACCAATCATTTATCGCAAAGATAGAATGTACACAGGCGCAGGAAAATAAAAAGAACCTCCATTTAATTATAAGCACCTCTTGTAAGCGTCCCGGTCTCAATATCAATTATTCTTTTCATTAGTTATCAGCTCAAATAAATGTGATCGACTGAAAATATTGCTGCCACAAATTATTTGTTCTGTCCATCTATGGAAGAGCTTTTACCAGAACTTGTAACAGTGTTTCTTAATTTCTGTCTAATAGGCCTCATGGCCTACAGTACAAAGGATCCATTCATATTTTATAGAACAAATGTGAAATTTCATCCATTACAACATGCATGCATGCGTGGAACAAAATGTCATGCAAAGATTTGTTTGTTCAGTTTCAAACTATAAAGAAATTAAATTTCTCTTAAGGAACAGAGCAATTCTTTTTTTGTACATGTACATCACTAATTGCCATTAACAATTTAAACTTATCCTCTGAAGGAAATTTATGAAACTATGATGGAATAAATTGTTGGCGACTATTTCTGTATGCCAGGCATACCATTAAAATATTATACTCATCTTCTTTAACTGCAAAATCACATTTTTCACATAAACTTTCTGATACATTTGAGGAAATAAAATCATTTGAGGATCGTAATTTTTAAATATTCAAGTGGTAAGAAGAGCATCTAAATTTACACAAAATTCTAATCAAACCCTTGTGTTCTAAATGTAGAATATAGGATTTGGGAGTTAACAGTGTCTTAAAACTAGAATAATTTTCTAAAAAAAAGATAATTTTCTACTTTACTATGCCAATTTTGAATTCCAATATCCTTACACCGTTGTTTGAACTGCTGCAGAAATGCATCCACGACCCCATACGATTGCATAATCCAAACATATGAAAAACCTGTATTGAACAAAAGTCCCTAAACGTGACTGACCCAGTTTACTCTTCCTAACTCATCATGTGATTTCAACATGGCATAACAAGCCCTGGGATATCTACCACAATCTAAGGTTAAACGTTTACACCAATATTTAATAACTTTTGTGAAACACTCAACATATATATAATTTCTTCCACAGTCTCCGAGAACCGCATTTCTGGAAGAATATTTAGATAAACCTATGCATTTTTAAAAATACAACTTTGAACCTTTTCTATTTTATCGTTATATTTGAATCCCCAAATCTCGGAACCATATTTAAAAATCGGTAATATTTTAGTATCGACAATTCTACATGCAACAGAAAATGAAATCTTTGGAAACTTATAAAATACTCGAATGACAGAAAAATCAGCTTTTCTAGCCAATGTTTCACATGCCTTTGACCAAACTAAACGAGAAGAGAAAACAATTCCTAAATAATTATAATATGTAACAGCCAATAACTGAATTCCTTTATAGAACCATTTTTCACAAGCTCTGAGAGTGCCTCCATTTCTAAACACAACAGCATTTGACTTACCTAAATTAACTTCCAACCTCCATTTCTTAGTGAACTATTTAGCCGCTTTTGAAGATTAATAACTGAATCCGCTACCAACACCACATCATCTGCAAATAAAAGCAGCAAAATGTCTTCAATATGCTGATTTACAAATATTCCCCTGTCTGAATCTTCCTTTATATCATCAATCAACTGGTTTATAAAAAGTATAAACAATATGGGACTTATCATGCACCCTTGTCGAACACCAGATGTAATACAAAATGTTTCA